GTGGGTGGGGGATGAGGGGCACCAGCAGGGCCGGGGGGGCTGTGGGTGGGGAGTGAGAGGCCTGGACCTGTGTCCTGGTGAGCTAAGGGGGCAAGGTGAGCTCTGATTTTCCATGATAAAAAAACCCAAAATCAAATACCAAAATTTATAGATACTTAGAATTTATTTTACTGTAGTGATTGAGAGATTGGTAGGTTTCCAAATTGCTTTAAAATTGTAAATCTATCAATAAAACATTGTGTTCAATTGATATCTATATATATAGTGGTGTTTCATTTTAATTGTGTATTTTGGGTTTTTTAGCAGAGAATTTGCAAATTTTTTTTTTTTATTTTATCAAGGAAAACCAGGATTCCTGGTAGTGATGCTGTAAACACAGAAGCCATGCTTGTACCAATCCAACGGTATTTTAGTGACTTTCTAAATCATGGAAAAAAATGTTTCATTTGTCAGTCTGTCTTCTGCAGGCTGCTTACACAGAAACATCCCAGTACAGGATGTCTGCTATATATCTGGATACAAGGATAGGAGCAAAGATCCATTTTCTATGGCCCCTGGCAGGTGCTACATCTAATGTGTTAATGGAGCAATAAATTGTAACCTGCCACACATATAAGCAATTTATGACCTGATAACAAGCTGCAAAAATGGTGATTCGGCCTCAGAGATGTTACTTGTTATCTTTACAACTTGTTTGTTACTGTGCTTTAATATGAATATGTGGCATGTGACACATAGGGTGGTAAGTGTTTGGCAGGTACTCCAGCATCCCACTCTTTCCCCACCCTTCTTTCCCGCAGGGGGGACTCTCTATGACCTATACTGAATTCTGCTGCCCCAGGGTGCCTCAGTGGGAGATGTCATGGCTCAGCCCCCTCCTCCCTTTCCCCAACCAGCCTTCAAGTCTGCTTCTTTGAGAAGCCCTTTAGCACCTCTTCCCTGTGAAAGCCAGAGTTTAAACAAACACTCAACATAACTTGCTTTACTTGTACATAATAGGAATCTGAGAGAGGGGGAGAGAATTTCTTTGGAAAACTGTGGGGAGGACAGATGGGGAGAAAGGAAAAATATGTACACAGAAGCACCTTGTAAGGCATCCTGGAAGAGCTGGAGCTCCGCCACTCCCTGCATCCTTCACACAGGGCTCGCTGCAGCCAGGGATCAAGGCAGCAGCTCCTTCACCTTGGGAGAGCTCAACTGAGGAGCTACAGCTCACTTCTCATTAGCAGTGCAGCTGAAGGGTGTGTGTGGGGAGTGACAGTCCCTGCCAGCAGCTGTCCAGCTCCCCTTGCTGCTGTGTGCTGGTAGAGCAAGTTCCTGGGATGTTTTTTGCTCTCTAGATAACTTGCCCTGGGAACATGAAGCATGTCACATGGAGCAACAGTTTCCACTAAGCAACATTCCCTGTTGCTTGATGGAAGTTACATCTGCCAGGGTTCCATGAAGTGGACAGGGATAAAACGGCGTGTGTGAGAAGGAGCAGGGTCAACACTAAGCAAAAAAAACCCCAACAAAACAAAATGGGGAATGAGTGTTGCACTGTGAGCTGACCAATCTTGTGAGGGTTGAGTACCAGTGTAAACATTTCTGTACAGTCTTCCATCCTAGTGTAGACTACAGACATCTACAGAATCTATTTGGGATGGTCTAGGAACAGTGCATCCTGCATTTGTCTGGGGTATTGGACTAGATGACTCTCAAGGTCCTTTTCCTAAGATTCTCTGCATATTGACAAGTAGTCTGGTGTCCTCAAAACACACTAAGGTTAGCAGTATGTGTGCCTTAGAGATTTCTCTTGTGCCAAACTTCCCAAGTCACCAAGTACTGGACATTTTTGGTTAAGTTCTCAAGGAAATCCAGCCTGATCACACTGTTTCCTCATATCAGCTTGCACCATCTCACAATAGAGATTTTTTTCTCTTACTTTCCTTTAGGTCCATTGTGGACAAGAGTCCATCCAAAGTAATCACCCCTCACCAGCCTGTGGTCCGCTCATCCATGAAAACCCCAGAGAGGTTTGGGCTGAAGAATGCTGTTCATCCTCTGACTGCTCGGGCTGCACTGCAGAGGTTGCCAAGCAAACCCAGTGTGTCCATGGCAGCTCCACACCAGACTCCAGAGTCGTAGCAAACATCCCATGTAGCCACATCTGTCAGAGCCTGTCTGATAAGACCACACCACTCAGCAGGTGCTGGTATTCCTCATGCTTAATACCAGCAGTGCAGAAGCTGTATTCGGACTTCTCCTGAGAGCTGATTGCATTGCTAGAGCTGTCAAACAGAGCACTTTGTGCTAACGGAAGATTGGCTTCAATGAAGGCTACAACTGGTTAGAAACTTTTTCCTTGAAAGAACACCCTCTAATCAACAATACATCCACCCCTTATTAAACCAAAAGCAACTGATTTGTACAGCCTGCGTGCATGGAAATGAAACAAGACTTAGCTTCTTGGTAGTGATGCCCAACTATGATGGGAGAGTCTGCAGTGATGCTGTGTGAGGCAGGGTTTGGAGTTTGCAGTCCCCTGGACTCAAGGAGTGAGGAAGAAGTGCCATAAGGCCCTCCATGTTCACTCACATGGTCAGCCTGAAGTCCCATAAACAGGCCTTTTACACATAATACATAAGTTAATGAACTGAGGGTGACACGAAGATGTGCTAAAAATGACTGCATTGCAAATGAGCAGGTGTGTTCCCTATATTCCAGGGAAAGGAGAATCCAGCTTGTGGGAAGATGATGTGATTTTTATAGCTAACTTCTGTTCCCCATTGGCCTGTATGAGTTCAGTCTGTTTGCAATCATTCCTTGTTCCCATCAAGTATGGGAAAGAATACTAAGAATGTGCCGCACTGGAACTTTAATTCATCAGCCTGTCCTCTCTCTGCTCTGGAGCAACTCTCAGCACTGATCTTCTGTGGATAGGCATCACATGTCAGACTTTTGCTAGTGCTGATGACCTCTGGAAGCTGGTTTTGTTGTGTTCAAGTGGCTCCCAGCCAAACTTTTTGTCTCCCTGGTGTTTTAGAGAGAATGAGTGATAAGCAAATGAATATTCAGAATCAAATATTCCCCTCCTTTTCATTCAGATCAATTACATTTTCCAAATTCAAAGACTGAATTACTTTAAATGATTCACCAGCAAAGCTGAGCCAGGTAGGGAAGGAGCTTTTCTTGTTTTTCACAGACTATTTGTTTTAGATTGGAGTGAGATGTAGAACACTGAGCTGGTTTAAGTGACCGCAAACTGTGATGTAGGTATGTACAACTATGGTGCAGAACCTTAATGATGCCAAGCGTTCCAATGTCAAGCATCATAAAACCTTGTCTTTTTTAGTTGCGAAGTCATATGTTACAGATATTTTCTGGAAAGCAGTGTATAATACATGAATTATGCAATTATTGTGTAGTTTAATGCCTTTATCTTGCTGGCCTGTCTAGAGCAAAATATGCTATACAGTCCAAACCCTATTATGTAGGTCCTCCTACATAATAGCTGTAAGCTAGAAGCCATGTCCCTGTTCTTACAGTGAGCACAAGAGAAAATCATCTGCCATTTACATTAAGGACTGAGTGACAAGTAGTTCCTTGAAATGATATAAGTGCAGGAGAGATTTCCAGTCAGTTGTTGCCCAATAAATTGCTTGTATAATTAAATGGGCTTCTAGAATTGACTGTATGCCAGTGGCACTGATCATGGGGAAGAAGAACAGCCTGATCCAATGGAATAGAACAGGGGTGCTCAACCTCTGGCCCAGGTGCCAGATCCAGCCCACAGTGCTGGCCTGTGTACTGGTGTTTGGCAGTGGGAGAGCTGTGCCACTGCTCCCCTGGTGCCAAATCTCCAGACCTGTGAGAGCCCTGGGCCATGTACGTTGGATCTGGAGCCTAGTCCCAGTGTGCAGGGCCAGGCAAGGGTGGTGCCAGGGCCCTATCCTAGTGTGGGGGCAGAAGCAGGCAGTGTTGGATCCCCAGGACCCAATCCTGGCACACCAAGGGTGGGAGAGGCAGTGTCAGCCCCCACCCCGGACCCAATCCCAGAACAGGGTGGGAGGCAGTGATACTGTGTGTGGGGTAGGGAGGGAGCAGTACTGGGCCCCCAAGCCCTGATCTACCCCATAGATGGGCCCTGTACCACTCTTCTGGCCTGCAGGGCTAAAAGGTTGAGCACCACTGATCTATCAAACAAGAGTAAACATAAGTGACATTTCAGACCAGATGTTCCTAGGACCCAGTGGCCACCCTTGCAGCTTGTGCTTGTGATATTTCATGTGCAGAATCCTGCATTCCCTTGCATACACATTTCTGTGCACATGAGCAGAGCAGTTAAATTTCTGCATTCCTCAGCACCCTTTGCAAGTAGGTGCATTTGTAGGTGGAAAACCCTCTTAGAAGCCACTTTTGGAAGTGGCTATGGGATTTCTCCTAGCAGGACTGAGCTGGACCACGTACATTTTGAATGCAAGGGTCTTCTCTGTGCTCATTCTATGACGGGAGACAGGGAAAAATGATCACCAGTTTTTGTCCTTGTACCAGTAGGTTAATATGAGTCTAACAGGACCAGAGCAGGAGAAATTTGGGAAGCACCTATGTGGGTTCATTTAGAGCAAGCCTCTACGTTTCTCATCATTTGCCTTGGCTTCAGAGAGACTGGTGCAGAATATCATGAAGGGTGTGGACAAAGTGAACAATTATTCACTGAGTCCCAGAGCACTAGAATTAGAGCTCACCCACTGAAATTAGAATGAGAAAGGTGTAAACCTAACAAGATAAATAATTTCTTTATGGAGGGTGTGGTTGACTAGAGGAACTTATTGCCACAGGAGGTTATGAACTCATTGCCACAGGAGGTTATAGAGCTCTTAGGGAGTTTTGATGAGTTGTTCTGTGCTGGGTCAGCACATCCTTCCCACCCCCTGCCTGCAACAGCTCACCAAAACTCCCTAAGAGGCCCCTGTGGGCAGGGTGTGCTCAGCCAGGTGGATGGGATGGGGCTGTGGGTAGGCAGGGAGCAGCATCCAGGAGTGGGATGTATGGGCAGGGTTGGGCCCAGACCTGGAACTGGGATCAGGATCACTGGCTGGTGACAGCACAGGGTCGGGGCCCGGGGCAAAACTGCAATCCGCTTCCTGCATGACGGGATTGTGACCAGCTAGACCCAGAAGGTGGGGATGGAGCATACACCTGTGACTGCTCCTGCTGCCCCCACTCCAGCACAGGTGTGGATGGGTAGCACCAGTACAGCATAGCTGTCCTGGGTGGTGCTCCCTGCCTGCTTGTCCCACTCCCAGATACCATTCGTCCCCTGCCTGCAACCCCATCACATCTGCCCAGCCAAACACTCCCTGCCTGCAGGGGATCCTGGCCAGTCTCCATGGAGACCCTGCCTATCTGCTTCATCCAGCAGTGGGTGTGGGGTGGATGGATTAGGGTGCCCAGGCAGCAAGGCAGGCAGCAGTGGTGACACTGGCAGCAGCAGCTGGAAGGAGCTGCTGCTGCCAGAGCTGCTGATAAGCAGAATCTGGCTCCCATGCCCTGCTGTGTGCCTGTGGTGCCTGCATGCACCACAGACAGGGCTGCTTCCTGCATCTGGGCCAGGTGGAGTCAAGGGACCTGCTGTGGGCTGGATAAAATCCCTTGGTGGGTTGGATGTGGCCCGCAGGCCTTATTTTGCCTACCCCTGTTGTAGAAGTATAGACTATAGCAAAGTTCAAAAAGGAACTAGACAGATTCATGGATGATATATCCATTAGTAGGTATTAAACAGAGTAGTTGGGGATGTATCCTCTGGCATTTCTAAACCAGTGGTGCTGGATGTCAAGGAGGGGATGGGATAATTCACTCTAGATATACCCTGTTCAGTGCTCTAGTTAGCGGTGTAAGGCTCAGTCAGACTTCTGCCCTCCGGCCCTTGTAACTGGGTCAGCCACACGTAACTAATTAGTGCCAACTGACCCTCAGCCCCTTCCCACTGATTGCTTCTGGGGCTGCTTTTAAGGAACTCCTCCAATACCTGCACCTTGCTGCACAACTAACTGGTTTCTAGTCCCTGAGCAGCTCCTGTCCTGGCAACTTCTCTAGCTTTCCTGGTTCCTGATCCTGCTTTTAGCTTGTTCCTGCATTTTGGACTTGAATTTCCATGCAGATCTGTTTCCTGGCTCCTGACCCCAGTTTGGCTCTATTCTTGGACCTCACCTTGTGGATTGTCCCTCAGATATGGTAACTAGGCCTCTGATCCCTGGATCCTGACCCTGGCTTGGTGTCTGGTTCTTGACTTGGTTTCTGACCCCAAAACCTGCAATCCCCAGTCCCACTTCCGGCTCTACCCATTAATCCAGATATCCTGGTAGACCATAACACCCACCTTCTCTCCTGCCATGGGCCTCTATCCATCCCTAGCAGACTTTCTTCCTAGCTCCCTCATGGTTCTGCTGCATATTAGGGTAGAAGGAAGAGCCATCAGTGGCCTCTCCACAATGATCTTTCCAGAAGTGGCCTGATGATAGCCTTTCTGAGTTCCTCATGTGTTAAGCAATAGCTGTTGCAGGCATCACTTCCTCTCTTAAACAGCCTCAGCACCATGTATTAACAGATGTGTCTCACAGTCAAATAAGGCAAGTTGTGCTACGAATGTAAGGAACCCACACAAGTTTCCTATGTTTCCTTTAATTACTTCATCTAGTGCCCCCAGAATCTCCTAAGCTGCATATCAGTCGTGGTGGGTAGGTAGGACATATACTTAGAGCCATATTTAGACTGAGCACTCTTCTGTCCTATGAGTGACACCATGGGAATCGTAGTATCCAGAGATTTCCTGAAGGCCTGAAGAATGAATATAAGTTATTGTGAGACATGTGCATGTCACAGTCAATGTGAAAATTTAGGATATAACTCGCTGACCTTTGTTTCTCAGGCCTGAGTGAATGTTACTAGGGAATTCATCCATGCCAAATACCTCCTAATGGCAGGACCTGTTCATTCCTGGGCTCCTTAGGATTGTTTCCATCATTATGAAGGTCATGCATAGTCCATTATTATGAGATGTGAAAGTTAAAGGACAGTGACAGAAGCCGGAATTTATGTTGGTCCATATTACATAAGGTTACTACATTGTGATGTGTTATCTGCAGAAATACTGTTGTGATACAAGACAGTGATGCAACACCAGGGCTTGTGGACAGTTCCTCATGTCCTGACAGTAGAAGGCAACTCTGAAACCTTCATTGTATAGCCTCTGTGTCACATGACTGGGATTGTGACTTCTGGGATACACACAGAAAAGTGGTGGCCTGTCCTCCCTATTTTCCTCTACTCGGTAACTTTAGAGGTCTGTGGGGTCAGGAGCCAACTCTCTGGCATAGAGGAGAAGGGGATCTTGATCTGAAAGGGTGGCCTGGCCGTGCTCCTGGCCACCCCCCCAGGATGTGTATTGGGAGACAAATGAACTGTGCCCCTGCTCATCCATAAATAAATTGAGGGACAGAAAGGTGAAGTGACATACTTAAAGCTTTGCAGTAAACCAGTGGTGGAACCTGGATTCCTGACTCCCAGGTACCACAGTACCTCTCTCCCCCTGGGGGAGGTTCGCTTGCTTCATTTCCTGGGAAAGGGCTAATTAGAGGCAGGGGAGTTCAGCAGAGAGCATAGCTAATTAGTGCATCTTGGGGCATAGTGGTCAGTCTTCTGTATGAGCTTGGCACACTGCTTTCAATGCAGCCTCCCTCAGGGGCCTCAACTGCTGAGAGTTATGTGTAGGATAATGGGGCACAATGTATAAGGAGACTGGCAGTAGCAAAATACTAGTGAGAATGTAATAGCAGGGAGGCTTGTTAAAAGGAGAGGAGACTTGTGATTGCTGCCTGGCATAAAGGAGGAGGAGGCTTATGGACTCCTTTCTATTGCCAGTGCCAATTACTGTGCAATTTTCAGCCTCGGCTTCCAGTGCAAACATGATGAGCAGGGCTGGGGTTGAGCTGGACCGTTCTGACCTGGCAGAAGCGGGTGTGGGGATTTCCTATAGTGATTTTAGCTAGAGCCACCATCCCTATCCCCTCTTCACCTTTACTATCGACATGCTACAAAATATCCAGCGCTTTATGAATCCATTAAAAAAGGCTGAGCTTGGTGGAACTTGGGTCAGATGGGAGATGAAAGGGGGAGGAATGCTGGGCTGCCCTGTCAATATGCCTCCTCTTAGGACTATACCCCAGTCCCTGGGAGATGGATGCAGGGGTATCTGTTCCCAGATCCTAGTCATCTTAAGCTCAGCAGAGCCCCTGCTTCCAGTCAGAACAGACCCGTTCAGGATGCTGGTAACTACAGGCTGTCCCCTCAGTCTTGTACCAGAGCAGCAGCTGATACCTTGAAGTACTTTTCTGAGCTAATGGGATTTGCTGCTTGCT